GAACTTGTGATTTATGGGTTTGAAGATTAGAAAGGGTAGTTTATGGAAAGAAGGAAATTATCATATAACTTTAGAGAGAGAGGGTAAAATATAAATCTATCTATAACTGTTGTCAAGAAGATCAGAAGCCACTTTATAATCGTTCCTTTCCTTTCTATTTCTTCTTCTATTTTCTTTTCTCACTATTCACTATTTTTCTTTATTCTCTTTATTTTTCTTATGGCTTTTGTTAAAACTTTATTTAATAAAATTATATAAATATATAAAATATATATTATAAAACTATATATATATACATATAGCCTATGCATGGGTTAATAAGTGAAACACACCACAAAACCAATCATATATAGTTGTGCTTTATGTGACAATTGCATTTGTTCTAATCCAAGAGATGCTCAACTAATGAAATTAAACCATGCATTCAGGAGACTGAACTATCCATCCAGCTAGATCAACAGACAAATCAATAGAGCCAGATCAATTATTTGGGAGGACCTATTAAAAGACAGACCACAAAAACAACACCACTGAACACCTCCAGCTCAGGACACTCAAATGTATTACTAATAAGCTACAACCCACACTGAACAATGACACTGCACTATCTCAGACACTTGTCATGACCTCCATACTTGCATACAGACAACCACCCAACCTGAAGATTCTCACAAGTAACAAGAAATAACAGGACAATGATACCGCCATGGGAATCAGGCAGCAACAAACCCAGATATCTACTTGCCCCACATTGACACCGACAACAACATGGGTCCCAACAGCATGCTACACGAAGCTAGAGGCAACTTCACATGCTCTTTCTCTAATGTGACCTGCCAACAATGCTATCCTAGCTTCTCCATGGACACAAATTTGACATCAGGGCAAAGTAATAACAGAACATTTTAGCCTTCCAGGATACTCCATTACAGATCTCAAAGTAACACTTCCAGTACAAAGTGCCTTTTCCAACACAATAGAGTGACAAGATAGCCTAAAACTCTTGATGAGAGCTCAACTATCTCACAAGGCCTGAAGAAAACAGAAATGGTTTTTAACCCATTACATTTATTAACTGCTAAGGTACTTGTAATCTGTCTCACATGAAACCTTCATCTGCATAACTACCCTGTGTTCCCTTCCATTTTCCCCTCAACTCATCATTTAAATTTATTTAAATATTTAAATCCTACATCAATTAAGCTACTCCATGCATCTGATGAAATGAGTGCAGCTCACAAAAGCCTTTATAATAAAAATGCTTAGTCTTAAGAGGTGTTACCAGAATCTTTTTGACAAGTGGAAACTATTACATCTCTTTTAATTGTGCCTGACTTTATTGTCACCAACTTTTGTCCTTCCATCTTAATGCCATATTATGTTACATCACATCACCTTCTTGTTTTTCTGGGCAAAATCACAGACTTTTTTATTAGGCAACATGTCCTAGTGAAATAAGTAGAACTTCCCTCTCAATAAAAACTCCCGCTGTTAGCATCCTATCATGTGTACTCTCCTGGTAAAAAAATATGTAGGACTGCAGCATAGGTTTCCCAAAGAAACATGTTTTTTAACTTCAAATATTTAAATACTTAATATTTTTCTACATGCACATCAGAATCAGAAATACAGGCTCCTCTATGAGATAAAAAACATAGGCCCAGCATATAGTTGGGATACAATCCAACATTTTACAACATGTTGCTGACTAGATCTCAGATCCTCCCCCAGCTCCCAAAAAAATCAAGAATTTTTTTTCCACTCAGAAACTCACATTTCCTCCCATTGCTGGGTCTGCAGTAATCATGCATTGGCATTCCTGCAATGAATTCGGTAAGGTCCAATTCGTTGAATAAGCCACTGTTATTCGCTCCACGTATTACGCTAAGCCATAACCCAGGACCGTCTTTTGGTTAACCAGCGGCAACTGGAGGAGACGCTGTAAAATGGGCAGCCCGCAGAAGTCATGTCTTGCACACGAGCACGGCAGCGTGGCTTGTCTTTTGCACCAGGTAGCGCTTGCCGAATTTCTAAAGAAAGTTTTCTATAAGCCGCCCCTGTGCAGCGCTGAGGATTTTGGGGTGGGATGGGAAGATGGTATTAAAAATATCTCCCAGAGGTAAAATAGGCAAAGGGTATTATTCCCGGTCCTTCTTCGATTTAGATTAAGAAGGGAAGGAATTCCTAACCCCACCGAGCGCCAGATAGGAGCATTTAAGGCGCCCCTGTTATCTTGAGGAAATCGGCTGACGTCTAGCTCCTTCTTGTAGTTACAAGGAATCACCGCTACTCACCAACTGATCAGAGCCGCTGCCGATGCGCTCCGGTTGCTTTCAGCTCTGGGACG